TTATTTCATTTTATTTTACGAATCATGTAATTGGTAATTTATTCTTAATTGGTTTCTTTAGTTTGTTATTCTCCTTTCGATTTAATCGTAAAAATATTACGTATCTTTCTAGCCAATGTATAAATGTATAAATGTGTAATAACTTCTATATTAAAATAGATTTGTTTATCTTCACAAGAATATACTCGAGATCGACTATCTCGCGGATATCTACTTACTTATCACTTTTGAATTATAACGTTGGAAAGTTAAATATTAGTCGTAAATTATTCGACAAAGCCGCTTGTGTAAGCACACCTGATGAAACAAATCTAAATACACAAATATAATATATTTACAATACAAAAACATTTATCATATTGAGAAGAAACTTCGAACGATTCTGAATATCAACATCTAGGAAAATGATTCATCAAAAATAAACATAATACTCCTCTTGAATGTATGATATAAATATCATAAATATCATTTTAATGCATACTAGAGATAAGTACTAAAGATTATTAATATGAAATAATATCGTCTATATTATTTCCTAATAATTAAATTTATTTCTTTCCTTCTACAAATTTCACAAATAAAATAATTCCAATTCAAAAAAATGACGAAGAACAATATTTCCCAATTTAATATTCCTCTTCGAAACGAGCAAACGACATTCGTGATATATGCGTTTATACATTTCGTAATATGCTCGTAATAAGCTCGTTATATCAGGATTTAATAACTTTATCGCAGTGGTCACGATCGAAATTACCGATGCATTCAATTCAATATCATAGTTTCGCGTCTTCCGATATCTTCTCCCGTGTCCACAGCTCGCAGTATAAAGTGTTCTTTTGTTCCCCAGAACTGCGATATTGCGGAAATAATCGAACGAACGGAACGAGGTTTCGAGGGAGCAGCGCTCGTAAATAGATAGAGTGTCAGAAAGTTTATTGAATCAGAGCCACGGTTTTCGGATTAATCCTGCGGTTCGGTGAGACGAGGCTCGTCGCGGCATTGCGGCGTCGACGGGAATTAAAATACTCACCGAGAATTGCTCCAACGATTTCGCCGATCTCCTCGATATACACGAGGAAGATCGGTCGAATTACCGTTGTAAATACTTTATGGAAAACGATTTGCTTGATGCTTTCCGTATAATTTCGATATAGACGTCGTCGTTGCAATTTCTGTTCGTGAATTGGTAATGGAGGAATCTTTTATTATGTTCGTTTCTATATTTAATTTTTCTTTATTCTTTTTTATCTTTTTTTTGCATTATTTCAATAACGATGGAAATCACTTTGATTGTTGTAATTTGACAGATCGAATCATTATGATTCTTTTTATATTTTTCTGTGTAAAAGAAAAAATAAAATAGAAAAAGGGATGATTTAATTATATTAAAAAAAAATGAAAAATAGATAAACTATTTATTCAATTGCTTGAAATCTTTAAAGTGAAATTATATGGAATATATTTTACTTCCTTTCGTTTCTTTCTTTATTATTCTTCTCTAATTAATTTAAATCTGCAGCTTATTTCATTTCTATTCAACATTCTCTACATCGATCCAACAACAGCAATAACTCGACGTCAAACGCAATCCAATGGAAATAATAACAAATCGTATTTCATATCTTTATTTTCGCTTCTTTTTTATTGTCTTGTCTTTTTCTCGATAATTAACATTCAACGTCATTCTAACTGTCCAAGGAAGTGATAATCACACGGTGATTTATTTCACAGGTTTTCGCGTGCCTGTAACCAGGCTTGAATATAACCACGAGATCACGGAATAAAAATAACCAGTCGAAAGAACCAGTGACAGAAAAGTTATTGGATCGTGTCTGCGATTTAATAGGATTATTGCAATGGCCAGTCGAAAGCTATCAGCTCACGGTGCGATGTCTCGAGGAGGCTCGAAATTAAACATCTCTCTCTCGCTCTGTCTCTTTCCCTTTCCTTTTCTATTCCATTCCAATGTCGTGTTGGGTAACTTTTCTCCCCTGTTTTATATTGATTTCTATCGATTTCATCGCACAAAAGCAATCGATATTTTATATACTTTTCTCAGAATAAATCGGCTTTACACGAGAGAATGTTTAAAATATTGTATTTTCTTCCATTTCTATTATTTTGAGCATTTTTGATAAGATTCACAATTCCACTGATCGTATATTAAAAAAAAAAGATATTAATTATATTAATCTATTATTTGTTGTATAAAAAAATATATGATAAATAATACATTCTGATGTAATAATTCTTTAAGCTTTCTTTATTTCTTCTGTTAATATAAACATGATTTATAATTTTTATCTAAATAGTTTCACATGCTAAAATTTGCGAAACTATATATAAATGATAATATGGAATTTTTTATTTCAAAACATTCTTGCTTCTTAATAATTACAACTTCAATTTTTTAAAAATTTTGATAAATATCAACAATTAGTTTATTAATTAATTATACAAATAATACGGATAAAGTAAATACAATTAATCTGTCGTATCTGTCGTACATGCATTTAATATCACATATTCTTATTGTAACTATGCTTAAATCCTTATAACGAAATTCCAAATAATTTCAATATTCCTTTCTCTTCTTACTTGCAAATTATGCTTCCTATAGTTCTTCACGAAAGTAGACAGAGAACAAAGAGACAAGTTACACATTTTATACGATTATATCACATATTTCGAATAGAATACATTTATTTCCCTTGTAAAGTTAATATACATTTCCTCCAATATTTTAGCATATATTTAAAATTCAAGACGATCCGTAGACTGTTCAACATGCGACTACAAGGAATATATATAGAAATTCAAAGTTCTTTGAGAATATTGTAAAGGAAGACGCATTGTAATGTAGGAAGTATTACATAGAACCTATAATGCATCCCAAGTCGCTCAATAATCCTCAAATAAGGAATCAAAGTGTACCGGTTACATTGGTGATCCAATCTTTCACTTCCGCTATGGCTGTGAAAACGGTTGGATACTGCCATTCACAAGATCGACTCCAAGAGGTAATACCTACAACATCGTCCATGATTGAATATTCAAATAAACCACGATTGTTATAATTATCCACCTTTCAACAATGATTTATCGCGAATATATCGAGTCCTCTGCTAATTTTTCTATTTGATACTAATGAAAAATTATAATTTTACTACTAATAATTTCTTTTACAATTTTTGCACTCTTTAATTACTTCAAACTTTTGATCATTAATTCACAGAATTAAAAATTTAGAATCACTAACTATTTATAATATTTTCAGATAATCTTTCTGACAAGCGATCGATAATAAATTTTATTATATTTATAATTAATTTCTAAAGTTTTTATAGTATGATATATATAAACGAACGAGAGAAATAAAATTTTAATGAGTAATTAAAATTTCACCGAATAACGCGCCCTGAAAAATAAGAGGCGATCCGGAATCCCCGATGCAGGGTCTAGCGGTGTCCGATAAGGCGCAAAACATCCTGTTTGTTAATAAGTCACCATCGCTTGCTTCCTCGCAATCCCGGTTATTAATTTTCCGCATCGTGGTGTACAAAAGTTCGTTCGAGACTGGACCTAATAACTGTGATAAATAATCGTGTTTGTATGCGAAACCTAGCTCTACCCGAAATATCTTCGCGCAGGTTCTTACCCTGGATGCACCCCAGCCGAGAACCAGAACCAGGGAATCGTCGTCTATCATCGAATGCGTTTTAGGCAATTTGATGGGTTGTTTCGTGTTGTCGTACGTTATCCTGTCGGAGAGCTGCGGCCGATGTCAGAAGAAATATTACCGTATACGTTACGATAAATAATAAATAGTGAATATAATCGATCGATTTATTTATAGGCGAGATGGAACAAATATTTCGCGCGTTATGTAATTTCTTTTATTGCCTGAATTTCCTGTTTGAGATTAAGGTTTATTTGAAATCGATCAATTTCACTTTTTTTTTATCGTAGTAATAGTTGAAGAAAATTAAAAAGATAGATTAGAGAATTAGAGTGGATATGAAATAATTTGAATATTTTGAATAATAATAATTTTGAATAATAATAATAATAATAATAAATAATTGAATATTTTACGACGGATTTTAATTTTTTAAAATGTCTCCTGTTAAACGATATTAAATATCATTTCTTGATTATTATTAAATTAAATTGAAAAATTGAATTAACGAACGTAAATAAAATAATTTATCAGCAATTGGTAAATAGTATTTTTAGTTTTTCTTTTTGACAATAATTAATGAAATATTTTTGCAATAGAGATATCAAAAGAAGAATTGTACTTGATACAAAAATTTATATTTAGCAGAAATTTAGCCTTATTAAGAATTCATGATAAAAAAAAAGTGAATTACGAAATAAGAAATCCCTGATGACAAATATTGACAAATATGAACGAATGTGAAAATATATATTTTCTTGTTGAAAAAAAATACGACAAATATTTGACGAATATAGAAACGAACAAATATATAAATTTCACTTGTATCACAGAACATAGTTGCATTTCACATTACGTTTATCATAACATTTGCATACTAATAATTAGATTCGAACATGAAATATATAGAATCTATCAAAAAAAAAAAACTTCACTTCATTAGAAAAATATAAAAAATACTTTTTTGCAAACATCCAAAAGCTAGACACTTATACACTTTTCCGAAAATGCGTAGCTCCGTTTATTAATTAAACCTTTCGGTGTTTTCAACGATCGTCTCGAGAACTTCACGACAATTGCGACAGGCCACTAAATGCTCTCTCTCTGAAGCAGACAGACACGCACGGTAACGAGACAAGCGAGAACGTATTACCTCAACGAGGCCGACGTCGTAGTCGTAATTAATTGCGTTAAAGGCGGGATGAATCGCGACGCTTTGGACACCATAATTGTCACCGCCCTCGTAATAACGCGACGTGCCCGCCCTCACGTGGAACGGCTTCGCTTGTACGCTGCAAAAAGAACGACAAAAAAAAAAAAAATACGCAATCGAGATGCGTACACAAATCGCGTGTACACGGAGATTGTTCAAACACGATGCATTAATCTTGCCTGAGAGCGCACTGCGCCGATGTTATTATCCACTTTTCCCCGACGATACCACCGCCGCAGAAATGCTCGACTTGGTGACCGAAAAACGTTCCATTGTTCTGCAACGAAACCTGGGACGAGAGGCAACGATTTTCCAAATGTCAAATCGAGCGTGAAGATCGATCGCACGTTATACTAACCACAAATGGATATTCCTCTATGGAGGCCGACTCCCCTCCGATAATCCTGGGTCCTACGAGTCCCGGAAATCTAGCTGACTTCGAGACGATTCTTTCTCGATAATCGCCTGTGCGACATTCAAATCAGGCGAATCGTTTAATGCGGTTCCCTCTCGATATCGATCGGTTAATCAAATTAAGTTTATTCCTTCTCTCTCACTCTCTCTTAATTTTATTGATCGCGGGAGGAGTAAGTTTGGATGAGTTGAAAAGTGTTTTTTTTTTTCTTTTTTAGTGGAGAATTCGAGAAATAAAATAATGGATGAACTGTTTTCGAAAAAAAAAAAAATTGCCTCTCTCCTCTGGTCGGTGGTAAAATTAAACGTGGAAAAATTAGTTTCTGAATCAAATGAATTTTATACGTGCCGCGAGGGATTTAAAGCTGTTATTTTTCTTTCTTTTAACACATTTTCAAATATATTTTTTAATTTTCCATTCTTATCTTTGTTAATTATAACGCTTTTTCTTCTTTGTGAAATTCATATTAAATGATTGTTACGTATTTCAATATAATCGATGTAGTCAAACGCGTTAATTTACCATCATCACATTCCTACATCTACGTTTATAATAATTTTCAACTTTCTATTTTATACAGGATGTCCCATTTGATTTTGATACCTTGATTTTCTGAATAATAATAATTTTTAAGTACATATTAATATTTCTTTTTATAGAAAATATCGATTGATGTATCCAGAAATATATGTATACATAATTCCACTCACGAAAAATAATAATAATATCTTCTCCTCAACTTTTTACCAAAGTAATAATATTGAGAAAATTAACACGTCAAAATTAGGCGAGACATTCTGTACACCATACAAATGTATATTTAATACATTTAATCACAAAACAAGGTCTCACCATGGCGGGAAACCGCGCAAAGTATGGATGAACTGGAGAGCACCAAGAACAGCAATGCTTGCATCGTGGCCACGTTTGAGGTCATCGAGGGAACCGGGTGTTCTTTATAAACCCGCAAAACACGTAATTTCTGCATAAACAATTTGTTGGCGGGATTACTGCCACTATCTTTCTCTCTTCCACTTATCGGCAAGATGCTAATGCTTTTAAGGCTATGACATTAAGGGCTAAATCGTCTCTCGTATATAAATATATTTTCAACTGTGCGCCGTACAGTTGGAAAATGGCTCAAGATATTAAGATAAAGTCGGAAAGCAATTAAGTGGCCAGCGTGTCGCAACAGAGTCATAAATTGAACGCTTCCTTAGAATTTAGCCGCTTAATAAAATTCAAAATACGAAATAATGCATATAATTCGCTTAATCTAATTACCCTTTAAGCCCTGAATTATGTAGCTGATATATATATATGTATATATATATAGTTATATCTTATCCTTCTTATTATAAAACTAAACGTATATTTGATATCGCAACTGTACGTGATAGAAGACTTTAAGAAGACGATATATAATTCTTCTTCTAATCTGAGAATGTTTAATTAAACGAAAGAATAATTTAACATTGATTAAAATAACAGTAATAAAATAATATGTGGTATAAATAAGAATAATAATGCAATATAGATAAGTAGGGAATATAAATATTAAACAATAATAATAAAGGAATTAAACAAGTGTATCCGGTATAATCTTTCTCTCTGTTTTAAATTTTCATCTACCTTGTTTCATTTGCTCCACGAGTTTCGATGAAACTCGTTCAAACGAAGAGAGAATGTTATCAATGGTGCCGAGAATCGTTATTAATATCAATATCACGTTGAGAGAATCATTTCGCCTATACCATCGACGATTATTCATCGTGGAGCTAATTGACCTGTGCAAATGTCGAGTTAATGCACGATCCACTGCCTCCATAAATACGTAACGCCCCTGTAATTTCACCCCCCTCCTTCTTTCTCTCTCTCTCTCTCTAACTCTGTCCTTCTTTTTCTTCTCCTTTTTTTTTATCAGGAAGCATCGAATTAATTATCCAGTGGACGCTATTATATCCCCCAAAAGTAATTTCAATTACACGTCACGGTGCGCACGATGTCGTAAAACGAATCGTTAACAAGAGACAAACATCGGCCTGCCAACGACAGAACTGGAACGAATGAATCCGCGCTTGTGCCTCTCGCGTCAACGAATATCAAATAACGCGAATATTTATTATTAAATTAACATATATCTGGCCCGAGTTGGAAATTTGTCGCCGATCCACGTTCGAATCCACTTGTCCTCGAATATAAATTAATTCGTTGGCTCATTGTTTCTCGATGCTCTTATTAACCGTCCTTCCAATTGTAATTGATGGATCGATACGAAATCACTACGTTGACGATTTATTTAATCGTTCTCAAAATATTCTCGGATCTATACTCGTCGTTCAATCTTTCGTTTATTCGCGAATGCAGCAACGCGAATTTTCAACCGAACACGATCGTGGAGTATTTTGCTTGGAGCGATTTTCGAGCGAATTATTATTTTATTATTTTAATTTCGATCTCTCATATATGTCTCATATACACGAAATATTTATGTTCGAAGAAAATATTTTAAACTGATTAATGTGTTTGTGGTTTATATCGCGTTTGTTATTTATGCTTTGCAATTAATTTATTCGATTTTAATTTATTCCATAATGAGTAATTTGTGATCATGAATACATAAGAATAAAGATGATTGTTTTAATACAGGCTTTTAATTAAAAGCCTTTCTGAAAATAGAAGTAAATGAGTTAATATTAAGTTCTGGTATATTATATTTAAAAAGAATATATCATACTGAAAGAATTAATTCGAATACTGAAATATATCCTCAGTGATACAACGTGTATCGTTATTATTTCACGAACTTCTAATCTAACTTAATCTAAACTTTATCCCAACCAATCGATACTATTCGCTTGGAAAATGTCCTATTTTTAATGATTAATAACATTTTAACATGAATAACAAGCAACGAAATTAAAATCTCTTAAAGATTACTCAGCATTCTTATATATATAAAAATCTAGAAGAATAGCTTCTTATAATCTATTGGAACTATTTGTAACTACAAAAAGAATCATGTTTCAATTATAATTCCCTTCACGAATAATATACTGTAGTATAAAAAGAAACAAAAATCCTATCAAATTGATCTTTATTGATCAATCTTCTTTCCACCGTGTTTTATCAATGAATCATTAATAATATTCGTGGAAGATGAAGTATAGACAGTTTTATCATTTTTATAAACAATCGACTGAGAAAAAATAGCGGATACAAAACTCAATGTAATTGCCACTATTGAAACCACCCCCGAAACGAACACGAATCCTCTCGTACAGCAATTTAACCACGATTTATCGATGCTCCCTCTCGATGAGACAAAATTATCATAACGATTTTCGTAACACGTTGGTGTATTTCACCATTATTAATTCCAACTGGGTCCCTTCTATTCATCTGGCCACCCAATTCGATTGAAAATATTTCAATGTGGGATGCGAAAACGCTCGAATTTCTGCGAAATGTGCATTCGTAATCCGGCGTAGACGTGAATCCGCCATAAATTTGGATAAACGTCGCTCTCCCTCTCCCTGTCTATCGTTCACCGTAATTTCAATAATCGTATCACTTCGATACGATGTACACATGCGATCAGCTTTCTCTTCCTTTTTTTTTTTCTTCCTCTTTCTCTCTCCTTTTATCAACCATCGTGTGATATAGTCACAACGCTGAGTCATGAATTGATTAAACGGTCGAATGATAAAGAGAGTTGCATTATTTTATTGCGCAACATTGTTATCACGGTGCGCACTGATTTGTTCGTTTCGCATTCGATAAACGCTTTTCTTTGAAATTTTTTCTAACATAAATTAATCATTCTTTGATTCCCTTTTGCAATATTGAAGTTGACTCTTCTATGTAAAACTTAGATTGGAATGTGTACAATAATGAATGAAGTAAATTGAAACAAAAGAAAAAATCTTAGAAAATAAATACAATGTTAATACATTGTACGGTAGTCTGCTCGCACATTTTTGTATAATTTCTATTCTTTTTTTCTCATGTAAGTAATTTATCTTCTTCGCTAATTTATCGATTCATTAAGATTAAAAAAAAATTACTATTTAAAAAATTCCTTTTTTCAATTATTCTGCATTCGAGGAAAGATGTGTTCTACGAATTTTTGGTATTACACATATCTGGTAAGTACGATTCCACAAAAGCGTGTCTATATACATATAACTATCCTGCGAATTATAATAAACCGGAAATTTGTAAACTCTGACGCCGTTTTCAAGAAACTCCCGTGTGTCTCGCACATGCGTGTGTATTCGTGTTAAGCTCTCCGTGCAATGCGTCGTAAAGACCAAGTATTAGAAGTTGGAAATTTGGAAGAGATTACAACGAATTAACCGAGAAGGAAGTTTGCGTATAAGAGGGATGTTCTATTTACCCACGAAGAAACATCGTTCTATGAAAACTGTTATTTCGCAACAGCCAGTGAAATAATGTGAAACGAATTTTAATTAAATTGTCGATTCATTTGGAATGTTCGTTTGATAAACAAAAGAATGTTAATTGTTCGAGTGAGTTCTTGAGTTAATAATATACTTATTCTTATCTTAATTAATTTATAATTTTTTAATTCTTAAGTTCTTTTCAATATTATGAACATAAAAAAAAAAGGATTTCACAAGAAAATCGCGTAATATTCAATTTTATAACATCCAAATTACATTTTTGGAATTTAATATTTAAGTTTTGAATTTTAAACAGAATCAGAATAGAATTTTTAATAGAATGTCAATTTGGATTTGTCTTACGACGAAGAAAACTTGATATATTTTTAAAAATTATTCATTATAATGAATCTAAAGAATTGTATATTGATGTGTCCTAAAAAAAAAATTAATTTGTTTGAGAAGAGAATTAGAAATTCATGATCTATATTTAATTTTTTCTATATTCATATTGCACAATAAATATTGAATTTCTTTCTCCACAAGAAACACCGTATTTATTACTACATTATACTAAATGAAGAAATCTTGTACTAAATAATATAATATTAGAACATTTGATTTATTTAACGTTAACAAAATCAACGATTCTAAACCTAGTTAAATATCGTATCAAAGTGCATTATCAACCTTAACCTCAAAATAAAATCCGTTGAAAATAATCTATATAACTATAATTCGATCAACGAAATTCATTCCCCCATGAATCAATTACTCACTACGAATCAATTTTCGAGTTCCAGACTGCTAGACTTTACATATCCGATCTTCCACTCCCTGATGAAACGTCTCCAAACATCGAGAGAGATAATTATAACTAAATTCCGTGTGTAAAAACAAAATTGGAACAATACGAGGTGTCGTTCACGTGAAGATTTTGGCATGATTATCAATCAAGATATCCCTCGTTCTATCAGTCGGAGGCGGAGGAAAACGGACATCGCCGGCCAGGATGGAAATTTAAATGGTAATTTTCAGCCGGATTACACGTTATGGAATTATCCTTGGCCTCACTTTCATCCCCCTGGCCATACTAATGCTGCCTTATTTTCATTGCGTTCGTTCGCCCGTATCATAAATAATACACGTTACTTCCTTTGCGAGCCGCATGCATCACATTTATAATACACCTGAGATAGGCACGTGTGTATGTGCCTTAACCCTCCCTCCCCCCACCGTATATTCGGCCGGGTACGGCCATCATATAATTTTAACGCCACCGCCTGGCCTTTTACGTTTACGAGAGTCGTTTGGCGTTGCATTAATTCTCGCGTACGTTACGCCACGTTTCGAAACACGTGTCTGTATTCTGAAACTAGGGGCGTTCCGGTGTACGCGCCACTTCGTATTACCCCCGGGCTGAATCGATACATAAAACTATATTCTACGCCAAATTATACGCATGCATAAAATTCATCAATTTCTGTCTTCTTTTTGTTTATATATATATGTATATATGTTTTATCTTTTCCTTCTATTTATTTTTTTTCTTTGATAATTAATAAGATAATTGATGATAGTTAATAAGATAAAAAAATTGTCAAACTTTGAATACATTCGATGATTATCTATTATATAAGAGATAATTTTAATCTTTCAGTTTCGATCTTGATCTTGATATCTCCGTCAAGGATATATCGATATTGGATAAAATTTTTCTTACTTGAGTTAATCAGAGTTCTCTTTTACAGTTTTCGAGATATTCGAAAAAAAATTGTTGTTATTAGAAATATATCAATATGTGAGTAATAGCTATTTAAAGATGTATAACTAATGATAATAACTAATGGATCAAAGATATTCTTCATAGATTTTGTGCTTGAAATATGTCAATCCCAACTTATAACAAGATACATATATACATATATAT